AGCCAACCTGTCTATATTTGCAGTGTATTAACATGACGTTGTTCATGAAATTCCATGAACTGTTTAACGTCAGATGGACAGTACTACTGTCTCCCTTTTCATTCATGATATTGGTTATTTGGGCTTCTTTTACTTGCCCTTGACCAACCTAAGATTTGTCATTTTACTGGTCTTTGGAAAGACTCATATTTTGGTTTACTCTTTTTTCTTTAATTTTTTTGAGAGGGTTTTTGCTCTAGGGCACGTGCGCTCGCCAGAAAGACAGAGAGAGACAGATAGAAAGTGAGAAATCACCTCCCAGGGGGAATGGCCACGCCACAATCCCTTCTCCTCCATTCTCCTCTCGGGATCTTGAGCACACACACACGTGCCTAGCGTGAGTTTAAGCCACCAGGTCCAGGATTCAAACCACAGTCGACTCAATGGGAGTTCAGCGACATAGCCCTTACGCCAACTGCTGGTTCCGGTTTACTTTTCTTTATTGTATTTTCCCCTTATTTAACTGATGTCTGTTCTTTTATTTTTATTTCTCTGCTTCTGTGTATTCTTTTTTTCACATCAGACAAGTACTATACCAAAGTCGTAACAAGGCTTGAGGGAGGTGTATCTAACATAATGGTGTGAATACTCAGTCATCACACTTACAAACCACAAAACGATCAGCTTCTGTATATATTATTTGTCTTTATTTTTCAGATTCTTGAGATTGAGAGCTAGATAATTAATTTTTGTTTTCTTTTCATTCCTACTATTTGAGTTTAATGCTATGAATTTTCCTCTAAGGATACTTTAACTGCATTCTGCAAATGTTGGTGCGTTTTTATCATCATTCAGTTTGAAACACTCTTCATTGTAATTTTTAGCTTTATTTCTGGTTATTTAGAAGTGATTGCATAAATTTCAGATGTGAAATATTTGTTTTTTTATTAATTTTTTTATTAATTTCTACTTTAATCACACCATAGTCAGAGAAACTGCTCTTTATTTCAATCTTTGAATGTGATAGATACTTACTTTAGGATTCATCATAAGATTCAGTTTTATAAAAGGTATGCATAGGGGCTGGCAGGTAGCATGGTGGTTAAGGGCGCTGGATTCCCTCATGGCCAATCATGTTTCAAGTCCCGGACCTGGCGACTTGCTTTCTCACCACCATCCCCTAACTCTGGTCAAATTAAAATGAATAAATAAATAAAATAATTCTTTTTTTTAAAAGACACATGCATGCACTTGAGAAAAAGTAAATTCTGAAGTTTTACAGAGTAGTGACTTATGTACATCAGTTGTGTCAAATTTATAAATCATGTTTTTCAAGTCTTACATATGTCTAGCGATTTTGGTGACTGTTATTTCAGTTATTGAGAGACAGATGTTAAAAACTTCTTCTGTGATTGGGACCAGCAGTTAGTGTAATGGCTATGTCGCTGGATTCCCACGTAGTCCAATGAGGTTTGAGTCTCGGACCTGGTGGCTTAAACTCACGCCAGGCTCCTGTGCATGCTTGCCCAAGATCCCGAGAGGAGAATGGAGGAGAAGGGATTGCAGCATGGCCATCCCCCCTGGAGGTTGATTTCTCGCTTTCTGTCTCTCTATCTCTCTCTGTCTTTTTGGTGAGCGCAAGCGCCCTATAGCAAAAAAACAAACAAACAAACAAACAAACAAAAAAAAACAAAAAAAAACACACAAAAAACAAAAAACCAAAAAAATAAAACAAAGAAACCCTCTCCAAAAAAACCCAACTTCCTCTGTGGTTGTAGATTTGACTATTTCTCTTTTAAGTTTTTTTTTTTTTATTTACATGTTTTGAAATTGTTAAGTAAATAGACATTTAGGATTTCTGTGGTCTTAACTTTGTTATTATTGTGAAGTGCCCTTATTTATCTCTCTTGAAGTACTCACTGTCTTAATAGCTACTTTTATCCTGATGTCAATATTGCTACCTAGCTATTTTTTTTTTTTAATTGCTAGAGGGTATGCCATTCATCAGAGAGACACAGAGAAAGTATCCCTCAATGGGGATGTGAATATGTTGCAATCTCTTCTCCCCAGTTTCTCCATCCAGTGGCATTTGGGGCATGCATGCTCCTGCACTCAGTGTATATTTTAAGCTGCCGTGGCTGAGATTCAAACTGTGGTTGACCATGTGGAAGACGGTTCCCTTAACACTTAGTTACAAATGTGGCCTGTATTATTTTAAAAAATATATTTTTTTATGCCAGAGGATGCATGTGCATGCATGAGAGAAGAAAGAAAGAGAACTTCCCAACCAGGCCTTGTCATATTGCAATCTCCTTTTCTTCACTTCTCCATCCTGTTAGGATCCTGTACATGTGCACATGCTGCAACCAGAGCTGAGATTTCAACTGCCACCAGCCATGCAGGATCTGGCCTCCTCTGCTCAGTGCTTAAATACTGTACTGTGGGCTGGCCTCATCGAGTTATCTTATTATTTAACTTTATTTTTATTTGCCCTTTTAAAGATTTGATAAATGTTTTTTTATTATGATATTTTCCCCTTTCTCTTAGTTGCTAGTTACATATTCAATTATTTCTTTAGTAATTACCCAAATGATAGCAATGTGCAACCTTGACTTACTTACATAAATTAGTTATTTGATTGTTTCCTGGAAGATAGAAGAATCTTGGAGTTAACTCTATTTATAACATTCTCCTACCCCCTGAAGTCTCTTTACATCTTACATGTCATAAAACGTTCTGTTTACTGTTTTGGATAGTCTATTCATCAAGTTTTATTTACATATCTATCTTTTGCAGTAGTACTTTTCATTCCTATTTTAATTATATGTCTTTTTTTTTTTTTTTTTTCCAATTGCCAGAGGGTGCATGTACTGGGTGGGAGGGAGGGAAGGAGCAGAAAGCACTCCCTAATGGGGCATGGTCATATCACAATCACTTTTCCTTAATTTCTCCAACAAGTTGGGATTTTGAGCACACATGCCCACACATCTGGGGTGTTTTACAAGTCCCTGGGGCTAGGATTCAAACTGTGGTTGGCCATGCGAGATTCATCTCTCTTAACCGCTAGGCTTTGGGCCAACCTAAATTACTGTGCTTTTATCTTGCATAATTTTGTTTTTACTTGAAGAACTCTCTTTAGTATTTCTTTCAATGTAGGTCTGTTTGAAACAATTCATATCTGTTCTTGTTTATCTGAAAATATCTTTGTCTTTATTTCTTAAGAACATTCCCACTGTGTAAAATTCTGGATTTGTGGTTATTTAAAGCTTATTCAAAATGTTATTCCATTGTTCTCTTATTTCCAGTGTTTCTCTGGTCAGTTTATGATATTATTGTTGAAGTTTGGTTTGTTTCACTTTAAATATTTTTTCCTTGTTCTTTTGTTTTCAGAATTTCTATTAAGATTTTCTTAGCTTGTGACTTTCTTTGTATTTATTCTGTTTGAGGTTAGCAGAGATCTTGAATTTGTTGTTGTCAGAAAATTCTTTGTTAGAATCTTTTGTTGCTTCTGCTCTATTTTTTCTGTGGTTTCTTGGTTGGAATCCAATTACCCAATTCACTGTGTTAGACCTTTCCCATGTGGCTGTCAGACTTTAAGGAAAACAGAACAAAACCTTTCTTTTATCCATGCTTATGTTATTTATTTATTTATTTATTTTTAAGGAAAAACACAAGCAGGATACATAAAATCAACATTAAAAAAGAACAGTTACTTCATTTCTATTTTATTTTTATGAAGACATTTTGCCAGTATTATTAAGAGTAGTACCTTCTGTGACTCTCATTTCTGATGGAGACAAATCACCACTGACAACACATCGAAGGTGACTTCAAAAAGTTTGTGGGAAAATAAAGGTAAAATAATAGTTAATTTTGGTGCAAATTTTTTTTCAAAATCCATGTACGTTTTTTTCAAAATATACATTATCCACGAAATTTTTGAAGGCCCCTTTCATTCCCTCTTTGTTGTAGGTAAACAGCAAGTAATTTTACACTTAAGCCTTATAAAACACTAAGAATAGTAGAGTAGTAGGTAAGATAGGCAAGGTAGTAATTACACAGATTTATGAGTAAGCTTCCTTTAAGGAGTTTTATAAATTTGTGTTTAACCTTTTGGTTTGTAACAATTATTAGGGAGTGAGAGCATTGTTGGCTTATATTGGACTGGTTCTAGGCATGTTACGTGTTCTGCATTCAGAGGACAGTCCCTTACATGGACCAATAGTTACACATCTTGCACAACTTTCAACAGTTCTGCGGATGTATTCAGGAAGATGACACACCTTCTAATAATGATTTGACCCTATAACCTCTACATGTGAACTCTTCATATGAACTCTAACAACTTTTTTGGTATTGTTTAGATAGACACTGCATCCTCCATCAACACACTGAGGGAATATTGTGTTTCGTATGTTTGGAGGGTTTTGGAAGTTAGTCACAGTTTAGGAAGGTCAAATTAACTACTTCACTCTGCTCAAAGTATTTTTCTTGCTTATACGACTCTTTGTCAACAATAGGACACGTAGTCTGCGTATGTATTTAAAGACATTCTACAGATAAATGCGAGCATCTGATTACATTATTGTTTTATATTTCGTGATGAAGTAACAGTTATAAATTACCTGTGTTTCTTGTTCATATTCAAGTTGGAGCACCGCAGATATACTGATTTAAAAATTACACATGTAGGTGCATAGTATTTACAAACTTTAGTTCAAGACAATTATCCTTCCATTGTAGCGTTCTCGTTATAAAAAGAGGTATAGAGTTTGATAGGCTGAAATCAATTTGGGTAGAATGAGGGTTTCAATACACGGGTAAGATGCCACACAAAAAGGCCTTTTTATTACTTTTTTTAAAAAAAGAAATTACTCGTGTTAAGTAAAAAGTTTTCAGGCAATGTCACGCGCCCATCGTCTCTGGCAGGAACCTTTGCTTCAGAGGTGCTCTTAGGCAGGCACGGTTGAAACCCGGACCGGAACCTTGGCGCGCTTTTGCTAGTTTCCGGCGGGCTCCTTAGAGCGCTGAACAGTTTTGGACCGTAGGACCATGAGAGGGCCGGAGCTGGGTCCCGAGCCCACGATGGAGGGTGACGTGCTCGATACACTGGAGGCGCTGGGGTGAGTGTTCTTGGGGACGCCGTTCTTCCGAAAACGCAATTTCTATCTCCGCTAGGCTGCTGCAGTCTCCCTCCGGTGGGCACCCTGTTGGGCCGGGGCGGACCAATACAGGCCTTCTTTTCTGCCTGGCTCCCTCCGGCGCCGACGGAGTTAAGCGGGAGGCGGCAAAGAAGTCTGTTTTGGAGGTGGAGCAGATCCGAAAAGCTGGGGTGCTCGACCCCTCTTCCAAACTCCTTGCCTGGGAACTCTGCAGTCGGGACCCGGGAGGGTGGGGTGGAGTGGCGGGGAAGGGGCCAGTCCTCCGGGTACCTGGTGCCTGGGACGATGTTTGTGTTGGCGTGGTTGTTGCTCCCGGAAGGGGTGCTGGAACACCAACTGAGGCTGGGGAATGTTGTCTCGTGCAGTGTACAACTTGTAGCTTACTTGGAAGACTCCAGAGCGAATCTTTTCTGCTTCTTTAACCAGAGAGTGTTTTAGTTCA